GCTCTTCCCGTGCACCCTCGAGCGGGCCGCCCTAAGCTAGAACCGCCCTCAGCTCTGGGGGCTTGTGCCGGGGTCTGTCGTGCTCCCTCCCCTCACAAAGCAGCCTGGAAAAGTCGTGAAGGGGCAGGACAGAAACGGACTCAGGGTGAACCAGCGCTCCCCTGTGCTCGGGGAGCCAACTTGCTCCCACTGAGGACTTCAAAAGATTTGCCCCCGAATGCCCCTGGGGCCCTTTGGGTTGTTTCTGTTCTGCTCGCACCGCCCTCGAGCGCCCCGGGTTCAGCTGCATCCGCAAGGCACCGCTGCAGCGCTCACGCCTGCCCCCGGATCCTTACAGCCTCTCGCCAGCTCTCCTCCCGTCGCTGTGTCGCTCTTCCCCTCGGGTGCAGGTCTTTACTCACTTTCCAGCTGTTTTTGTTGTAATAGCTCCTCGTGCAAGCAGATTTTTCAACTGAGATTTGGTCCAACTGTCAGATGCTTGCTGAAATTTGGTGGGGTGGGTTTTGTAGGTGCTAAAGTGGGGAAGGGAATGGGATAATCCTTCTGCCCTTGTTTGTTGGTTTTTCTATGTAATGCAGAACTAACAGCCCTCTCTCTCTTTTGAATTTCAGACCCAATGTAAAAATGTCTTCTTCACCCATCAGGGGAGAGCAGTGCTTATAGGCTGTCTTCACCCATCAGGGGAGAGCAGTGGTGGTTTGTCTGAACCCAGCCTATTGTGTTCCCTTCAAATAAAAACCAAAGCATTTTAAGAGCAGCTCCTCTAGCGAGGATTTAAAAAGAAACCTGTGATAAAAAAAAAAAAAATAACCAGAAAGGTCTTATTATATAGAGCCAAAGCACTGTGTATACCAATGTTTTTATTCTTTTAATTTAAAATTGTATTAACTTTTCTTTGGTACAAAAACATAGTCAAGGGGATTTATGCTATTTTGAATATTCAAACGTGTGTTCCTGATTATTTGTACTAAAAATGACTCGGAGGTTATTAAAATATTTTAGGTCATTATCAACTTTCTGACGTCTTGTCCTTTAAAATCCTCACCCGTTAGACAAATTCACCACGAGCCATTGCGTCCGTGCTTGTACAGCCGCACGCTGGTGTGCATCGAGGGAGGAGATTCCTCATAGGCCTTCTCCCCGCCTGCATACTTGCTGCTGGCTCTCCAAGGTCGTAGGACATCTTCTGCGAGACGGACAGGCCCAGATATTTAATAGGGGCAAAATGTCCCATTAGGGCACTCGGCTGGGAGAGGGGTGTCCTGAGTTGAAACAGGTTTATATTAAACGAAAACCAGGAACAAATCTGAGAGGAGGACCCAGGACCAAGACTCGTCCCTGCGAGCTCCGTGCCCTTAGCACGAGGCCACGACCTCGTGGTGGTTCTCCCTGGGCCCTCGATACCCTCGCCCTTCCTGCCCGTGGGCCGGCATGCCCCGGCAGGTGAGGCACGTGCAGTTGATGCCCTCGGGCTGAGGGGAGTCTAGACCATGTCCCCACGTGCCGCAGGCGCTAGGGAGGTAGCGGCAGCACCAGCCCCGTCAAAAGAGGGAACCTGCCCTGTTCTTCAGAAAATGTCTGTAGGCGCCTGCCTTCAGGACACGATTCTTGGTGCTCGGTCCCCAGAGAGGGAGACGTGGGATTCCCTTGGGATCTGAGAGGAACCTAAACCTCCTGTGTAATGAGCTGGCGGTCGTCAGGAATCGGGCTGAGTCCTCCCTCCGAAGATCCACCGTCTCTGGCCTGCGTGGACCCCCGACCCCTGGCTCTGTGCCCTTGTGCCTCCCAGCCTGTGTCCGATCAGGACTTGCTTCGACCCTCGGTTGATCTCCTGCATTGGGACTGACAGCTCTGACCGCGGCTTCCCTCCATCTGGAGCGGAAGTCAGAACCGAGGCCCGCTGCGCCGGCACGTGGGACTGCGGTGCTCGGCATGGGAGCCACGGCAGCCACGACGGGGGAGAGCTGCTCAGCCCAGACAGGAGGAAAGCGCAGCTGACAGAGGTCGGTGTTTCTCTCTCAGGGCGCTCAGGCGGGAGGGGAAGGATGGCTTCCAGTTTCAGTCCCAAGGACTGCTCAATGCAGTCAGCGGGTCCTTGGAGCAGGCCCCAGGTCTCCCTCTCCCGGGTAAACGCCCTAACCTCTAGGCTACAGACTCCTGCCTCCTCTTGCTCCCTCTCTCCGGCCCAAGGAGTCCTGAATTCTTCTCCACACCTTCCGAAGGAGGGCCGGGGAGTCCTCTTGCCTGTGGGCAGGTGGGTCTGTCGCGCAGGAGGCAGGAGTCTCCGCCGGTTGGGTGGATCCAGGCTTTGGGAAGGGGACGCGGGGTGCAGAGGTGGCTGCACCCCAGCTCCCAGCATCCCCGGGCGGGCAGATCGCACGGAGGAGCAGCACCAGGGGACTTTTTTAAGTCCCCCATGCAGGTAAGACCCTTCCCTTCCCCTCTGCACTTAGCAGCATGTTCCCTCCGTTCCTGTTCCCCTCCTGCCCGGGCTGCCGCTGAGCGGGGTGTGCTGGGTGTGCTCTGCACGTGCCTGCCTGACCAGGCCCTTGGGGATTTAGGCACCTGTATCTGCAGAGACAAACTTTCAGGTTTGCCCCGGAAATTTCTGAGCTCCAAAGCGAAGGGCCAGCGGAGTTTCAATCCTGCCAGGATCAGACAGCAGCTGAGCAGGGGTTTTCAGGACTGCAGTCGTGGATGAAGTCTTGTAAACTGAGACTTAGGCCACATGGAAACACCTACGTCCTTTTTCAGAGTCCCTTCCCTTCTGGCCTAAAGCTGAGAGTCAGGAGGCTTCGAGTTCAAGTCTCACTTCTCCAAAGTATTGATGTTATTGCTTCGTAGTCCTAACTGGTGAGAAGGGGCTTGGGTATGGCTCCCCCATTTTACAGATGGGTGACTGAGGACCAGGGAGCTTGCATAGCTGCACTGATGGAGCTCGCTCCGGAAACCAGGTCCCTCCCCGCCTCAGATGAGTCAATTCTCACACATAACCCCACCGCCCCCCAGAAAAACGAAACCTGAGTTTACATGGACACCTTTGCAAAGCGCTGTGACATACCGACAGGAATGGTGGCCTCTAGTGAGATCACCAATCTCACTTTGCCCTTGTCACTCCTTTCTGACTCGAGCTATTAACCCAGATGTGGAGCTATGGGTTGTTTCCATTTAGAAAAGATCCTGAGGATGGAGAGCTGTGCTGTGAGCTCTCAGAGAGCATGGCTAGGTTTCTGTCTCCTAGGTCTTTGCTGCTTTTAATGCTTGCCTCTGCTCACTGACTCTGCAGCGGACAGCAACTCAGGCCGAAGTTTCTCTTCCTAGGACTTGTTCTCTTGCTGACTCCCCCAATTGGCCTCCCAGAGCCAGAATGCTCATTCCTTATTTTCTTCCATTTTTCAGCCTAGTGACTAACCAGAACATTAATTATCCAAGTCTGGCTGCACAGGGTCATTTAAGATGCTGTGCAAAAAAAAGCTTTAATCTCTCTGCAGTCAATTCAGTGTTTGGACTGTGCCTAATTGGGTGCAATATTCTAATTGGGCACAAAATAACCTAAAGTGACTTTTGCGTGAAGGTGCTCTGTAGGTGCAGAAAGCCAGCACGCACAGCCCGAGCGAGCAACATAACCAGTTGTTGCACGAGGAGGTGGGATTTCTTGGCTTTGGTGTTGTCATCTTGCTCGCTGCGTTACTGAAGAGTCATCTGCAGTCCACAGCTGCAGCCGGGAGGTATTGCTGTGTCTCTGCCCTCCAGGGATCTCTTTGTAGTTCCATCTGCAAAGTAAGTTTGAGATGCCCGTGTACCGGACTAGCCAGAGACGTCAAGCAACACCGTAGAGCAGCAGTCGTGGCCTTCAGATTGCTCCGCTCCAGACAGTAAGGGCCAGGGTTTTCAGATGTCCAGCTCCCTTTGCAATATTGGGGATCAGATTATGAAGAGAGCCCAGCACCCACTCAGGGGCCTGAGACCCTGACGCTGTCCTGAGCCTTGTGTTCAGCGTGGGGCAGACGTGGGTCCCAGGCCTACCTCTCCGCGTGACCTCCGCTGCCGCCCCACGCTGACATACTTCAGGGATGGAAGAAGAAGAACCAGCCACCGGCCCTTGTGACACGAGGCCTCGATTCCCAGACCCCAGGGCTTGGGAATGGCATAGGTACTTGACTCTTCCTGTAGGCGAGGCAAAGCTAGTGTCTGTATCACAAAGCAGCAGATGTCTGAAAAACAGCAACCAAACAGAAGAGAAACTATCCAAGTTTAAAACGATAAAAGTCACCCTTTATCGGAAGAAAATTTATCGCGGCCAAGGGCCCACAACACTGATCCTTTCTCCCATGGCCCTGGGAACTCGGGCTCCTGGATATGCGTTGGTATTGCAGGGTAGCCGTGAGAAAGGGCCTCTCTGTCCTCATCACAATGTGCTCCATGCAACTCTGCTAAAGGGGCCCCCAGACAAGGCATCCACTGGCTAAGGGCCATCCCAAGAAGATCAAAACTCAAAACAGAGAGCTATTTCAAGCCTTTGCTTAGCAAACAAGCTATCTGCCAGTCCCATCTCACAGAGGCAGCAGAGTCCGGGAACACATCAAAGAGGCTGGACGGCAGCACTGTGGCTTCTGGATAAAGGGGGAATTCCTTCCCAGCCCCACGTGGCAACCGGCAAAGCCCAGAAAGACAGGTGGAAGCTGCACGATGTCCATGACTAGCTGTGTTTAGAGGATGACCGTGCAGGCAGGTCACTTGCCGAGGCCCTGGTCCTTCCACGCGACCACGTCGCTTTGCTTTCCCTCGGCTTCCAGCTTCTTTTCCAGTTGGAATCGAAGTGCTTTTTCAGTTGCTTCCCACGGGAGTGTGACCTGCCTGGGATAGTACTCTAGCCACCGAGCCACAGGCAGGACTTACCCAGAGCTGCCGGCCTCTGCCACTTCCTAGCCACCTACTTCTTTGTGCCTTAGACGCTGGCAATCAGCAGCATGCGTATGTGGCTGTGTGCCCACGTGGCCAGTGTATACCCTGCTGCACATGCTCAGTCTACATACACAGCCACACGTGCCCACACTGCCAGGGAAACAGAATCACTGCTGCTGGAGGTGGCATTTGGGGCACTTACATAGGTAAAAATCACTATTTAGAAGGCACAAGAAAAGAGAACTGCAGACTAGGTGAACGTAGGGCAAGACCTACCCTACCCAGCAAGTGCTGCGTGTGCCCGCAGCCACCAGCCAGGCCCCTTCAGATGCCCAGCCCTCGATTTTCAACCCGTTACCATTTAATTACAGGGGCACACATCACATCTGAAAATGCAAAGTACATCTGACATGACCTGGAAAAACTCAAAATAGTCCAACCCGAGTGTTGGCTTTGAGCACTGCTTTCTCCAGACTGTGGTCAGGTGATTGCAGGCCCCCAGTTGGTTGTTTTGGATCAATCTGATTTTACCTTCTTGGCAATTTAATAACTTTCTGAAACACTCTCTTACCCTGGGCTGTGGCGTCTGAGAGGTTTGACCATCTCCCCTCCAGGGAACAGCAGCTATGAATCAGGCTTGCACAAAGTAAAGGTAATAACCTTCCTAAATCCATCTTCATTGCTAGCAGGCACAGTACTGTCAGCTGGAGAGGCTTGGGAGTTAAATAAATCTGAGTCTGGGTTAACTTTCCATCCAGTTTCCTGCCCTTTGCTTTGTCTGTTCTCTAAAGCAATCTTGCCATTAATCTGAGGCTTTAAATGATGCTGATGGAGCTGCAATAAAATGTGCAGTAGCTGCACAGAAAAAGTCAGCAAGGAGCTGTATTGCTAGGAGTTAATACTGGGTTGAGTAATATCCCAGTTTCATAGTCCAGCACAGAGCAAGCCAGCTGAATCGTTAGGGAGGCTGTTGAATTACCAAGATTAGCTTCCATTGTGATTCTGGCTATGACAAATTGGTATATACTACACTGTGCACTGCAATATATAGCTGCAATAGGTGCTAGGATGTGGCTGTTCACGGGAATGCAGATCTCGCTGATGGACCACGTTGCCAGTGTGAATTTAAGAGAACAGGAGAATATTTCATCCGAAAGCCTCGCAGGCTCGAGCTGCCCCGTTAGTCTGCTGGCAACTTCCACAGGTGTTTTTTGTGTCTTAGTAGCAGAGACTAGAGCGAACGGCTCCTCTCGCGTCTCCAGAGTGCTCGCGGGCAGGACCCCGCTGAGACAGCAGTCGCTCGCTCTGGACGGTGGAGCTGAGTGCTGCTCCTTTGCTTCGCCGGGGGCCAGAGCGAAGCGTTGTGAGGGGCAAGGATGAGGTTGCTGGATCAGTTGCTGCTTTGTGGGAGCCGAGACTGGTTCTCAAGCTGAGCGTGTGCCGGCCCCTGAGTCGGAGCCTGGCCACGCCGGTCTGGCCCGTACGCACTGCACCACTCAGCCTAATCCTGCGATGCAGGTTTATGAATCCATCCCCCTGCTTGGCTGGTGCATCAGGAGGAGACCCGCAGTCCTTTCTGCTGAGCCGTGGCACCGAGGGTTTAGAGGTTACGGCTACAGCGGGGTACAGCCTGGCACATGTGAAATAGGTGGTCTGAACAATAGCTGTTCTCCCCTGGGTTTATTTTAAGACATGTAAAAATAAGTGTGTTCAGTGTGTGTGCGTGCATGCATGCACACACCTGTGTATACATAAAACTGGGGCCAGGTATCTGACCAGTCAAATAAATATTGGTCCATTGACTGATCAAATATTGGTCAAAAATTGTAAAAAAATTGGTCCAGCTAATACATAGAAAAAGCACAAATTTTCCATTAAGAAATGTGTCAAACAACACTAAAAATATTTCTGCCAAGAAAACTATAGAAAATATGTAGCTTTTTAAAACATTCCTATAATCTTTCACTGGTCACAAAAAACTTTGCAGTCAGTTGACTGGCCAGTTGACAATATTCAAGTGGTCAGTTGAGGAGCTTGCCAGCCCTACATAAAAGTATTATTAGTTGGCAATAGTATAATAATATCATGCACTGCGGGGCCCTGCTGGCAGCAGAGAAACCGCTTGCCCTCCAGGAGGGGAAGCCTCAAGCCTGGTAGGAAATAGGACCGGCCCCTGGAGTTGCTCGCTGGTTTTCGGGAGACTGAAGAGGCGCCCCGGCCCAGGAGGAGAAGGATCGGCTGAGAGCCAAGCGCAGCGATTGAGAGCAGTCTGGGAGAGGGATGTGCAGCGCCTGCGTCTCCCTGGGCAGATGGCAGGCCCCCTGCACCCCCTTCTTGCTGCCCGACGCTGCTGCCCCTCCACGGCGGTGCTGGAGCCTGGCTGGCTCTGCGGAGATCAACGGGAGAGAAAGGCAAGCGGTGTCCCCGCAGCCTGCTCGCAGGACCGCGTGGTCCTTCATTACCACGGGGACGGGGACTTGAGACAACCTGCCTAAGACGGCTCGCTACGGCAGACGGGCAGATGGACGCGCGTCTCCACGGGCGCACAAGTCCCACGTGCTGCTTCTGATGAGACAACGTGGATTTAAGTCACGAGCCACAGCTCGCCCGAGTCTCATCTTCGGCACCATCCCTGGACTTGTCCTTCCGGCGTGCGAGCTTCGGCTGCCACCACCCGGTCCCGCTACACGATCATTAATAATTCAACCCTAATTATTTCATAGCAAGATGTTTTCAAACCCAGCACAGCTGGCAACTCGCCCCAGGGGCTGGGCCACGCCGGGTCTCAAGTGTTGAAACTAGCTTGTTTTTTGACTTATCCGAGCGCAAACAAAGAGCAAACGTGTCCGTAAAAGAAGGATTTGCCCCTGTGTCCTTGTAACTCTAATGGCTGAACAGATTTCCTTCGGCTCCCTGCAAAGAGTCACGACATGGCTGAGAACAGACTAGAGCGCTGGGAGCCGGGACGGACGTCTGAGCAAGGAGCAAGCTCCTGCAGGTCGGTGTTTGAGATGGGAAAGTGGCCAGAAAATGCTGCACAGGCAGGGGCAGCTCCGGGGGGGCGGTGGCAGAGTCACCCCCTCTTCAGTGGCCCAGATCTGCTCCCGTGATCCCCCTCTGGTGCCTGGCGACACGCCGTTGCCGGCTGACACGGGGTGGCAGGACATCTGAGTTATCTGTCATGCGGGAGAGTTCCCTCGTGCTCGGTGAGAACAAGACTCGCCCCGCGACGCGGAGTAGCTCCTCGCGCTGGACGTGGCAGCAGCAGACCGAGCAGGGATGGCAGGGGCCCCTGGAAGCTGCCCCCTCCTTGCCCCTGGCCTGGCGCCGGACCGACCCGCTCCTGACACATGCTCTCAGTGACGTCGTTCCCTCGAAATGAATGCCAGTGCTGGTCAGGGCCCAGGATGGGTTAAGCATTGCTGATTTGGGCCTTTAATGATTTGAGAGCATCATTGCTTTTTATTCTCGGCGTTGAGCCGACAGCATTCAGTTCCAGAAAGGGGTGGACAGGAGCTGGTGAGGCGCTGGGGGCTGCGAGCGCGAGACAGCGTGACCATCTCATCTGCTTGCCACGAAGCAAGGAACAAAAGGCGCCGTCAGCTAAACGTGGCCTGCAAAACTCCCAAGACCGGCCTGAACTCACAAAGCAACGCGGCTGGGCTTCCTTGCTTTGCTCTGTGGTTTCTGAGCCTGGCGAGCACCCCCGGGTCACGCTGGCAGGCTTCTCCTTGCGATCATGTGGGACACAAACTGAGCATCTTGAAGAAAGTGGAAGCTGAAATGGTTTTCGCCAGATCCTGTGGATGCAGGAGCTGGGCCTTTACACCAGACGGCATGAGACTCATCCAAACAGCAGAAGAGCTGGCGGCGGGGTGCCCGCAGCCTTCAGGCTGCTAAAGAAAGCTCGCAGAAGGGCGTTTCTGAGTTACAGGCTGGCAGTTTTAAATCGTGTGTTATGGGCGAGCTGGCTGCGACTCCACACTTGAGGTCAAAAGTCAAGTTCCCTGATGGTCTGACTTCACTTCCAAGCTGACTTGGTCTCGTGCCCAGACGTGACCCCTTATCCTCCCTCCTAGCCACAGGCAAAACCCCCTCACCCACATTTGTGGTCTTTCAGCCCAAACAGCTGCGGCGTTCACTTCAACCCAAGTGCTGATAGGCCTCCGGTATCTTCCCACAATTCCCCCCACGTTCCC